TCAGTTATAAAGTAGGTACCAAACATCAGCTTACCTTTCGGCAGCTTTTATTTGTTTATTTATTTTTAAATATTTTTTTTTATTGATTTCAGAGAGGAAGGGAGAGGGAGAGAGAGAGAGAGAGAGAAACATCAATGATGAGAGGGAATCATGGATCTGCTGCCTCCTGCACGCCCCGCAGTGGGGATCAAGCCCGCAACTCAGGCATGTGCCCTTGATCAGAATCGAACCCGGGACCCCTCAGTCTGCAGGCCGACGCTCTATCCACTGAGCCACACCAGCCGGGCCTTTCTGCAGCTTTTTAATTCCCTCCAGAATTTTGGCTCCTTTTATCCTTTCTCCTTTGGCAACTGTATCATGCAATTAAACAGATATTTTTTAAAAAAATTTATTGAATCATTTTAGTCATTTTCCTAGGGACTTATTGGTGTGCTGCAAGCTACTCTAGTCTACCTGGCAATAGACCTTTGAGTCACCTTGTGCTTGACTCGAACTCTATGTGCCTTATTTAAAATGGATTTTGTGATAATTACTTGAAGTGGGAAGTGTTGGTCTGGGATGTCTTTAAGAAGACCTCGGACCAGTGTGGCTCAGTGGTGGAGCGTTGACCTATGAACCAGAAGGTCACGATCCCCAGTGTGGGGTGTGCAGGAGGCAGCCGATCCATGATATTCATTCATTCATTCTCTCTCTCTCTCTCTCTCTCTCTCTCTCTCTCTCTCTCTCTCTCCCTTCCTCAGTGTAACGACAATCTCCTTAACAACCTTTCAGACCAGGGTCCAGGGACATGCAACTCACCATCTCATTACGGCTGTTCTGAGAAGCCCTAATTGCTGGAAAGCACATCCTTGTGCTGAGCTGAAATCTATCTGCCTGAAACTTCTACCTATTACATTTAAATTTGTCTGGAGCTTGAAGATCAGTGAGGTTTTTTCCCCACATGAGAGTCATTTAACATTTTAAGATAATTATCACAAATCACCCAAGCTTTCTCTTTCATGGTCAAAATCTCTCTCGCAGGCATCACAGTAGCTTGAGCGGCTTCCTCTTCCTGGCCGTTTCCCTCCAGATTCATTTAGTTGGTCCTTCAATGAATAGCTAAGTCCCTGGCAGTAAGAATCATGGATCAGCTGCCTCCTGCACACCCCACACTGGGGATGGAGCTCGCAACCTGGGCCTGTGCCCTGACCGGGAATCAAACCGTGACCTCCTGGTTCACAGGTCAATGCTCAACACTAGCCACGCCAGGCGGGCAAATGCATAACATTTGAGAAGTGTGTCAGTTGGGAAGTAATCTAAATCAGAATTTAAACATTTCAACTGGAAGGAGAGAGGAATAAGCTCCCAATGAGGATAATTTTTGCTTCTCTCTTTTTTTTTTCTTTGTCCGCCCTCTGACATTGATGTGGGAGTTCCAATGAGCTGGGAAATGGTCATAAAATGGATAAAAGGATGGGGAAATGGAGAATAATTCATTAAGGAGGGCCTTATGCTATAACTAATTGAGAATTGACGACAAAGAAGGAGGTATTTTTTTTTTTTTTTAAATCTGTCATTTGGGGGTAAGATTTCTCAAACCACTTTTTTTTTTTCCTTTTTACTCTGCTTATATTTCAAATCAATTATCTCAGGAAATGCCAACGTAGTACTGTGAACAGTATAATTCCTCTAACATTGTTCTCGTCTTTGTACTTGCCCCTGTATGGTTCACAATTCTTTCACACAATAAAAGCCTCAAATTAATGAAATGCTTTCTCTTTGAAATTCAAAATGCGTTCTCCACATTACTGTTTAATTAATTCTCAAAGCATTCCTCTGTGAAGTGGGCGTGTGGTGGGAAAAAAAGTCACTCTTCCCCTTTAAGACACACAAGGAGCAGCTGTGAAGGGCAGATCCGTTCCATCCCGGTGAAACTTGATGCTAATTCAGTGTTATTTTGAAAATTTTTATTTTTCAATCTTTATTGTTGAAAGCATTTTATAGGTCCCCTTTTTCCCACCTTTAACTTCTTCCAGCCCACTCCTGTCACCCCACTCCTGTCCCCCACCCCACTGTCTGTGTCCATGGCTGATGCATATCTGCACACAAGTTCATGGACTGATCTCTTCCCGCCCACCCTCCCCTTCCTTCCCTCTGAGGTTCAACAGTCTGTTCATGCTTCTCTGTCTCTGGGTTGATTTCTGATCATCAGTTTATTTGGTTCATTAGATTCTGCATATGAGTGAGATCATGTGATACTTGTCTTTCTCTGACAGGCTTATTTCACTTCGCATAATGCTCTCCAGGTTCACCCATGCCTGTTGCAAAAGGGTAATAGATCCTTCTTTTTTTACAGCAGTGTTTTATTCCATGGTATAAATGTACCACAGCTTTTTTATCCACTCATCTGCTGATGGGCCCTTGGGCTGTTTCCAGATCTTAGCTATTGTAAATTGTGCTGCTATGAACATGGGGGTGCATATGTCCTTTCTGATTGGTGTTTCTGACTTCTTGGGGTATATTCCTAGAAGTGGAATCACTGGGTCCAATGGGAGTTCCATTTTTAATTTTTTAAGGAAACTCCATATTGTTCTTCACACAGTGGCTGCACCAGCCTGCCTTCCCACCAGCAGTGCACGAGGGTTCCCTTTTCTGATGCTAATTCAGTTTTGTCCAACGTTGTTGTCTGTGTGATTCTAGTCCACCCAGTCTTCCCACCAGAACCATGTTCATGGATTTATTTACTCAAGAAATCAGCAGATACCGAGCGGGTGCCAACTCTATGTCAGATCCTGTTCTAGACCCTGGGGATACAGCAGAGCAGAGGAGGAAAAAATCCTGAGCCCGCAGAACTTAATTTCTTCCAGGGGAGACAGACAATAAACATAGCGAATAAGTAAGTTGTTCGCTATGTTAGAAGGGGATCAATGCTCTGAGAGCAAAT